GCAGGACGGAGGTTGACTACAGGACAGGGCAGGACAGGACAGAAAAAGTTGTCCTGTGCTCATCTCTGATAGAAACTAATATTAAACTGATCTGAAAAAGGAACATTGTCAAGTCTCCGATCATTCTTTTTTTTGTTTGAGACTATACTCAGCAAATAGACAATGATGAGTAATATCAAAAACTCAGATGGTTCACTGATCTAAGCCTTTATTCTTGATATATCAAAGTTTTATTGAACTTTTCAACTAAAATCTGTAGTCCTCCTCAGATAACCTTGAGAATCAAATTTTGAGTTACGACTTAAAAGTAAACATAAATAAAACTTTCCATGATATTAGTTCATTGCTAGGTCTGGAATTGAGAAAAACTAAATTTCTGAACTAGATATCGGATCTAGACCAGAGCTGTAACCGGTCCGGCGAAACCGGCCCGGTCCGGCCGGACCGGTTGAAGCAGTTCCACCGGCCGGTTTTCGCCGGTTTTTTACCGGTTGAAATATATTTTAGAAACATACAGATTTTTGAGATAAAATTTGTTGATAACAAGTTTTTATGCCCTTATCCAAATAACTAACATGTTTTACTTCAAAAACCATACATTTTTTTCTTTTGCTCCTCAATTTATTTCATTTCTTTAATCTATATACGCTTTATTTTTTTAAAAGTGCTTTCGAAACTGTATTAGTTAAGTTAAACTTATCTCATACACTTTTTGTGAAGATAAAATTTAGGTTCGAGCCATCATCGAGAGAGAAGCGTTATGTTATTGGTAAAGGTTAAGTGAATAAAACTCCATTCTCTAAATGTGCGAAACATCTTTTTATTAAAATTAACTTCTACTTATACCTTCAAACTATAAATACTTAAGAAAACAAGGCACAAAACGCTCAAGATAGGCCTTTTCCAATGAGTGATATTTTGAGTTTCTTGTTACATTGATGATTTTTCTTTAAAATGGATAAAAAGTTTTTAAAAATTAGCTGTTTTCTTCTTGGTAAAAATCTATAAGCATATCTAGAAGGAAAGTTCGACCCTAATACTACTTTTATCTTATGAACAAACTTCATAAACTCGCCGCTTTTTTACCGGTCTGGAATTACTTTTTAGACCGGCCGGTCACCGGCCCGGTCTGAAATTTGGACCGGCCGGACCGGACCGGTCTAAAAATTTTAGACCGGTTACAACTCTGATCTAGACCTGACACTTTTTCAGTAACATTGAATACCTTCTGTATATATGAATAATTGAAGGATCCAGATTTTCACTATTTATTGGCTACTCTCAAAAAAAAAAGAAGTTGATGTAGAGTTATTTCTTACTCTTCACTTTCTAAATTAAAAGTTTTCGATTTGTTGAAAAGAACGTTAAGTTTAGAAAGAAAAGAAAATTGAATACTTAATTAATAAACGAAATTCGTCATTGAAAATCATCAAGTCATCATTAACACAAAAACTCTTATTTGTATGAAATAACTTTAGTTGTAAATATAGAAAATAAGATCAACCAAACATATGTCCTATGTAGAGACTTCTGCGTGACAAGGATTTTTCAGTCACGTCACGTCACGGTCATGTTCATAGTCACGGAGGTTTTTTGAAACTAGTCACGATCATGTCACGGTCACGAGCTGCCTGGTCACGATCACGGATATAGTCACGGAAATTTTTTGAAACTAGTCACGGTCACGGAAATTTTGGATTACTAGCTGGATTTTTGTGCTACAAAATCAAGATTTATATTGATTTCACAGATTTTCTTTGTAAAAAACGCAGAAAACACGTAAATCAATTAAAATCTTGATTTTTTTTCACAAAAATTAGATTTCTAATCTCAAAATTTTTCACCATTAAGTCACGATCACGAGCTATTTGGTCACGATCACGATCCCAGTCACGACAATTTTTCGAAAACTAGTCACGGTCATGAGCGGCCGTGGCCGTGACCGTGACCATTTTGCAGAAGTCTAGTCCTATGCAATAAATGTGAAGATTTAATTATTGATAAATCATCTTCTGGTATTATTTCATTATCTAAACATATTCGTAGTTATCGAAAACAAAAACAGATAGTTTTCAATGCTCAAATAGGTATCCATTACTGGTAATAAAACTTATTCGTAGTAGTTGACTGTCGGCTATTCAAAACAACAGATGATATTCATTGTAAAAATTTTGTGCAAAAGATTTTTAAAGCTAATCGACACTTACGTATAGAGAACTATGAGTCCATGTTTTTTCAGTGAAAGTTTCACAGTTAATCAGTATCATTGAGAGTTTTACTGGTGAAAAGTTTCAAATCGGAAGTCGAAATTCGATTTTTATGATAATCTGAGGAGAACGACAGGTTTCGATGAAAAATTTCAATTAAAATCTAATATGTCAAGAACTAAGGTGCAGACAATTGAGCCATCTCAAGGCTTGACGCTGTTCGTCATCTCAATACAATCTCAATCAAAAAATAATCAAACACTTCAGGATGTTCTGTCATGAAATTCGAGATGAGTCTTTATTTAATCTATCATATGAAGAGGAAAAAAAATCAAATTAAAATAGTATGATACTCATTCATAGTATTCATCTTAATTTTTTAGTCTAATATCAAAAAATCTATGAGCACTAACAGTACCTTGTAGACAAATATGTTACTCTAGTGTTGCATTTATCCTTTTGAATGATATTTTTCTAATATTATTTTATTGATTATAATTTTGAATTACATTTTTAAAGACAGAACTGAAAATATGATATATAATGTTATTTTGAAAATAATATTCCAAACTTTTCTACTTATATTCAATAAACATAGCATATTTTCTTCTGAAAGATATTCAACAATAAATGAAGAGAAAATTCAAGATTCTTCTAAATCAATTGAATAATTGTTTTTCAAATAATTCCATTCATCGATTGCTACTCAAATCTATTAATATTTGATGAAATTAACGAATCATTTAGAATAAACAAGTTCAAATGTTAAAACTATTTCTTTAGTTTTTGTTTTTTTAAACTTGACTTTAATTGAACAAATATCTTTAATAACATGATTCAAATGAGATTGTAACTTCTCTAAAGTAAAACAAATTTTTTCTTTCAATGAATCATAACATATTTGTACTATCGTTGAAAAGAACGTTGTTCGATGAATAACAATGTAAATAATAAAAAAACAAAAATGATTGTTTTTTTCTTTTCTAACATATGTATTTCTGTTTTTATTGTATTCTAATGTAACAACCAGTTGTAATAAAATGCACATAAAGTACATTTTTTTACTTTTGTCTTTATGTAAAATGATGAAAAAAACAAGTGACAGCTCAAGGACAAATTCAAAAAGTCAACATCGAAAAGTTTTTTTTTTCTATTGACAATCAATTTATTAACTGATTGAAGTCGTTTTTTTCTTTCTTTTCTCTATTAATCAATGACAAAACTATATAATAATTAATTGCATATATTTATTTATTGATATGAATAAATGTTGTTTTATAGTTCTATCACATAATTAACCAAGTCTAAAGCAAGATAAAGAATATTATGATTTTAAAATTTGAGAATTTTAAAAACAAAAAGAAATTTTATGCACTAAGAACAAGAAGAGATGAATATCACAAAAAGAAAAGAAATGAAGAAACCAATTAAGAGATTCATAATAAAAAAAAAAGAAAGAAAAAAAAAGCAACAGAATGTTTCGTTATATTTTGATTTAAAATATCAATGAAATTAATCAAATAATTCAACTTCTTGATTAAATGTCCATTTTTGACTTGGATTACTTGTATCACATTGTGCTAGAAAAACAAAAAAAAAAGTTTTTTATTTAATTAAGAAAAAAAAAGAAAAGGAATTTAATTCTTAAATTGTTTCTTACCAAGCATAACATTGGAATCGCCTACGACACTTAAACATTTTCCCGAAAAAAATTCACTTTTTAATTGAAGTGTCTAAAAAACAAAATTAATTATTTTTTGGTTAATTGTTTATTTCTTAATAAAAACCTGTTGATCATATTCCCAATTCTGTTCTTGACGATCATCA